GTTCTGTTGAACGTTTGAGTAGTTAAAAGAAAACTCTTGTGAGATATTGTAATACTGTACGAATATGAGGGAATTAAAGCATTTTGTTTTATTTGTTGTGATAATAATAAATTTTGTTCATTATTCATTGGACTTGTGCATTCAATTCAAACGAACCCGTACGCACGCAACAATATATATTTTTCACTATTAAAAATTTTTAAAAATCTCTTTTAAACGGTCGTTAGAATCTGAACCCTTAGAGATTTTATTTTAAATTTAAAATAGAGCAGCTTTTTTATTCATTTTATTGATACATATTTTTTATGAAATTAATTCTTTCCAAAAATTAAACTGAGTTCCATGAATCAATTAATTTTTGCAGTAGGCTTTTTCTTCCATGCAATCACATCAGTCTAATATATTTAGTTAATATTAGTATTTACATGAGTTTTCGAAAAACGTTCCTTTCATATTTTGTGAAATTAGAAAGAAATTGTAATGAGATATCAATACATCGGGTGAGATTTTTGAGATTATACAAATTTTCTATGACCATGTTTTTAAGCTGGAAATTTCTAACATTTCTTGTCAGTGTAATTCAAAATATGTATTGCAAAAGAGCATGGGCATACATTATTCAAAATAACACTGCTTGCAAGGTGCAAAATAAAGCGTAATGAATTTTGGACTTTTTTCAGTCAATTTGTTTCTTGGTATTTTCTAATTCATAGTATTTTCATTCATACAGAAAATTCTTTCAATTCATGGAAACATTCGACATTCTATAAAGTATATTTTATGTTGTTAAACCCATTTTTTTTGTGAATTTGAACTTAATTGTCTTTTTTTCCTTACTTTAGCTCTCATCAGGATGTAAATTAGATAAGAGTATTTAAATCAGAATTGTAGGAAAGTATAGGCAAAAAACTTTTGGCAGCGACGCTGACTATAATAAGATTCTCTCCTATAGTTCTGCTTCTTTGTTAGCCGATACCAGCCAATTTACTAGCCGAAATCAGTAATGCACTGAGTAATTTGAAATGCTTGTTAGGTTGTTTGCGTTATAGCCTCCAGCATCGATTTAATTTAAATTTTAAGCTCACCTTTCTGTTACTCATATCCGGATAAATTCCTAAGATTTAAAGGTAAGCCCAAATAATGCATAAAGTTGTAACGAAAAAACGTTTGTTTAAAAACTAAAGTTCTCCGTAGTTGACTTCACAGACGTTACGAAAACTTAGTCAGATTGTCTTTCGTCAGTGGGATTTAAGGACGTAATTAATTACTAAGAGAAACCGCACAAAGTAAAAATTTCACAGAAGTAAAATTTGCAAAAAAAGTCAAATTAGCATCATTCTACAATCTGCGCATATTTATTTATTTTATTTTGTTTATATCATTCCTTTATTTTAACTCCAAAACATATAAGAAAGATTTAGTTTCCTTTATTTAGCGCCATTTTGTTATTTCCCCCTAATAATTAGTTATTTCTGAAGTTAACTCTTTCGCATCGAAGTCGCCCCAAACGCCCCGAGCATTCAGACATCGGCTGGACGCCCGAAACGTCTGAATAATTTCCTACCCAGTGCTTTCCTCCATCACGTTACTGCATTACTCATTGCTTTCAGGTGTTGTTAAATAACATGTCAATCATTCTTTTGAAGCTACTAAAAGTAGCTTCTTTGTTTCCTTTGTTCCTTCCTTTCCTTTGTTTACTGTCAGTTTAGCTTTTGATGCCCGAAGTTACAATCCCGTCCCAAGGGGGAACTTCACACAGTGTCAAAGCGTCGAAGAAAGAAGTTCTCGCTTTACTTAAGTAAGGCTATTGTTAGCGCTGTAGTATTCAACTTGTCATGGGGGAAGGAAAGCATTCCAGGAGAAATTCTTAGATACGGGCGTTTTTCGATGTTTGGGGAATTGAGATTTTGCCCTCTCGCGATGCGAAAGAGTTAAAACTGTGCTAGGGATAAATAGTGTTCCAAATATGTATAAGAATACCAGAATATTATCAAGCACTTATTATGGCAAATGAATCTGCTAAATATGTTAATAGAGCTTACATTTCGACAGTAGGGACAATATTCCGACGGCAAGACTTACAAGTTAATCACATCCTTAAATATTGATTCAAATTACCATTTGTTAAAATCGTCTCAAATACATTTTTAGCTAAAGAATACGATCTTCCTGGAATCTTCCACATTTATCAAAATTTATAATTTTAAAGATTTCAATTTAGTACCAATCATTTCCTCCATGTTTTTAAATTCTTTTTTTCTTTTTTATTCCCTTAATTTTTTTCACAGCAAACGCTGTCACTATTGTTGATTAAGTTTTTATTACTTTGTTTCTTAATTTATTTTAAAGCAAAGAGATTATAGTAAAGCGGAGTAAAAAATACATAATTTAAGTATATAAGTAGTAAAAAGTACATAATCTAAGGTACCAGTATCGAATGCTCTTTAAATGTACACAATTGTTCTGTAAAATTAAAACATAAATTGATTTGAGTTTTGTTAATATTAAATATTCTTTGAAGCTTAGGAATTCACCAGTTAATTACCCTGATGTTAAAGGTTTAAAAAATCGACATTTTACAAATGTATCAAATTTAAAATGCGCCTCTTGTATTATGATTCTAATGCACACAGAATGGTTTGTTATGTCACAAAAATAATATGAATTCCAGGTAATAACCTACACTGATCTGATCAAAGTAAATAACATATCTGATCACATAAAATTCGCTTTAATATATCTCAATAATACTATCGCGATATGACATAAAATTTCACTCACAACATAAAATTGACAGATAAAAGCGAAAGACCTTTACTTGACTAGTGCTAAAAATGATAAAATATTTAGCACTCTAGTTTAGACATTTGTATAAGAGTTTTAAGTATCAATTTGTTTCTTTTAAAAAGTATCCAATAAACACTCCAGTTCTAATACACATATTAAAAAGAGCCTGAGAATTTCAAATTACTGTTTGTCTTTCTAGATGTGTATAAAATAGAGTAGCCTTTTTTATTCATTTTATTAATATACATTTTTTATGAAATTAATTCTTTCCAAAAATTAAACTGAGTTCCGCGAATCAATTAATTTTTGCAGGAGGCTTTTTCCACGCATTCGCATCAGTCTAATGTATTTAGTTAATATTAGTATTTACATAAGTTTTCGAAAAACGTTCCTTCTTTAAATCAGAATAATTACAATTCATATTTTGTGAAATTAGAAAGAAATTGTAATGAGATTTTTGGTTACATTGGGTGAGATTTTTGATTACATTAAGTGAGATTTAATTTACATTGGGTGAGATTTTTGAGATAAAACAAATTTTCTATGATCATGTTTTTTAGCTGAAAATTTCTGACATTTCTTGTCAGTGTAATTCAAAATATGAAATGAAATAGAATTCTTATCTTCGTACTCCTGTTCGTACCATTTTGCATTCAGAAACCATTAGACACAATGTCAAGTTTCCTATCTCTAAAAATTGATCCCTCCTCTTAATCTCTTATGCCTCATTAGGGAACGATTAATGGCATCAGCAAATTCTATTAAAACAGAGATGACTCATTAATCTTAAAACCAATTTCGATTATCATCTGCAATTTACTCAGACAAGTAATTTCGGTCAGCAAGTAAGTTCTGTTTGCAGCATAAGATACAAATGAAACCGTCGCTCTGCAGTTTTGCCAGAACTCTTGAAAAACGTAGCTGAAATTTGATGATATTGCAAAGTTTTGTAATTATTTGTTTATCTGCATGTGTTTTGTAAACTTGTATATTGCTTTTATTTACTTATTCAATGAATACTGTATGACGATTTTTGTGCTTATTCATAACATATTATATTTATTGAATTCACGACCCTTGTTTAGTTTACAAGTGTCTTATATCATGTATTATTTCGTAAATTTTAAAATTCTGAGTTGTGTGATTTCAGAATTGCAGCAATACCTCAAACAAAACCAGAAATAATGTGCAGAAAAACATTCTTTCTGAGTTTTGGTCAGAATTCCTGTCACTCAGTCCGAGCCATTAGGCAATTTCTTGCCAATGTCAACACTTTGAATGTTCCGAAGAATTTGTGGAAGTCCTAGGAACGATATTCCCCGCCCCCCGAAGCTTCTGGAAGTTCTTACTTTTCCCCACGGTAAAGCTATATATATGAGGATGCATCACAAGATTTATTACAATCTTGCACCACTACTGGGTAAATACTCTAAACTGGATCTTTCCGTAAAATACACCGTTATACGGCCATTATTAGGCCAATTTTTTCCTATGCATCCCCTGCTTGGGCTACAGCTACAACTAAAGACCTTTACAAGCTCCAAATTCTACAAAATAAGTTTATGAGACTTAGTACAAATGCTCATTTTTATGTGTTAAACGACACTCTTCGCAGAGATCTTAAACTGGATACTGTTGAAAAATATCTTCATAAAATGAACAAGAATTTTTTCGACAAAGCCATCAATGCGACTTTTTACGTCATTTCAAAGTTTTTGATTATATTCCACTGAGAGAGGACAGTTGCATCAGACCATACGCGGCTCACCTCACCCGGACGATAATTTCACTACATAGTTTTCACGGATTTTCCTGTATATAGTGTATATTTGTATTTTATTTTGCATTCTCTTTATGTGTCTTGTATTTGTATTGTATGTAATATGTTACAATATCTGATTTAAATAATAATACTTTTCTCAGACTTATTCTCTTATTTTAACCACCCATCCTCATGAACAACACTACAGACAACAACTTATACTTAGCCTCTCATGGCGCGGCTTTCTTGGTTTTCTTCTTCTTGTGGACGCTGGGCACCCCTTTTTCTCATTTCCGACGCCTTCTCACTCCCCGGCCAGACCGTTCAATGTCTTGGGCCTTACTGGGATACTTAGTCAGAGAGCCGGCAACGTCGCGAGCTCAACCTTTTTGAAACCGTATTAAACAATATGGGAAAGGTTATGTGAAAAAGCATATCTTAAGGAACTTACCTTATTTTCATCGAAGACTCTAAACACTAAAGAGGCAAATTTGGAAGGATCTCCTTGTGGGAAAAACTGTTTGTATATCCGTAAGAAACCCTAAAAATATAAGGATAGTTTAAAATAAGCGTAAACACAGCATAAAAACACTAAAATCTGTTATTATTTAAAAATGCCAAAATTTATCTCATGCATTGATAAGCAAGAGGTATCATATAAATAAAGAAGAAATGAGGATACAAGAGGAACAAAATTTTTTATTGTGTTTAGAAATTAAAATGCATTCTTTATTACAGTTAGATTAAAGCTTGTAGCATTTTCGAAAACTAATGCTATTATCGAGAGATAATTGTAAATCACCTTTAGCTCAAAAATGTGCTTTTTTTCATTCCCGCTAAAAGATGTATTCACTTTTCATATTGTTATGTAATATGGTTCTTCATTTTGGATTTTAGTTTTGTTTTTAGTAGTTGATTTTTAATAATTTGATTTTATTTCTTCGGTTTAAAATAATTGTAAGTTAATTCCTTTTTAAGCTGTAATTGTTAATATTAAATTTAAGTTTGGTAGTGTTGATCTTTTTTCTACAGATGAATACTACATAAAGAGACAGAGGATACATTACGCTGCTGATGTTAAATCACATTTGGGAACTATGTTATGGAATGAATGGCTAGGTAAATTGATGTGAACTGAAGCAACGATAATGAAAAAAAAATTTAAATTCATCATTGAATTACATTTATGCTGATTTTCTCCGTAACTTGTGAAAACTAACTTTAATGCATAACATTTTTATGTCCGAAATTGCCCTTTAAAATTAACAACAAAATGAGAGAGTGCGAGCTCATATGCGTTACGCGAGCGCGCGCGCTGGGTCCTTAGGACCCGTTTCGTGTTTTTTGAAGAAAATATTGTAATGCTTCAGAAAAAGTATTACATTTGCGCCAATAATAAATTGCATTATCAATTTAAAATCTGTGCCCATTAAAATTTTTAATATTTCCAAATGCTTTTTATAAAATAATTTCTTAAAGAAGTTGAAAATCGTATTATATATTTGCATAGGAAGAAAAATAGTATACTTTTACTTTGTATCGATTTTTATTTCCTTCTAGCTTCTTTTTTAGCTTCTTTAGCAGCACTTTGAACTGCAGCTATCTCAGCAGCAACTTCTGTGATTTCAGCAGCCTCCCTATCTTGTTTGTCCTGTTCTTCAGCACATTTCTATCTTTCTTCTTGTTCAATAGTTTTAGCCATTGCTTTCTTAAATGTTTACTATGCATTATGGAACGACAAGTTTTTGACTTAGCGACTGTAACATCTTTAAAGAGTTTATGACAAAGCTTACAATGATAACCATGGACAGATACAACAAATGACTGGCCAACAGACTTAGGTTCTTTAGGTTTTGATTTTTGGAGTTCTTTCTTCTCTTCCTTATATTTTTCTTCTTTTTTTCCTTTTGATTTGGCGTCATCTTTAGCATCTTTGTTTTCTTTAGCACCATCTATTTGAGTAGCATCTTCAGTCTTATCTTTTTCCTTACCTTCAGCCGCTCTCTCATCATCTGCATTTTCTTCTTTCACTTTAGCAGTGTCTTCCTCCATCTTTTCTATAGTTTCACGCTTTTTTTTCAATTATTTCAACTGGCTCTCTAGCAGCTTCATCTCCATCTGAGCCAGAGGCTAAATTCTTTGAATAGTGAAACTCAGCAAATCTTTGCTTGTGCTCTTCACTTTTACAATGGTCTCTATATTCTTCAGAACTGCTGAAGCACAAACGACATGGTCCGCATTTAGAATATTTCTTTTCTCGTTTCTTCCTGTGCTCCTTTGTTCTCCGGTAAGCAAGAAAGTTTCCACTGAAAGCACATTCACAAACCGTACACCAATTTCCTGGATTACGACTAGAGTTCTTTTGGCCATCGGTTGAATAAGCCTTTCACGAGTAGAGCATTTAACGTAACAGTTTAACGGCTTCTTAGAAGCTAATTCATCAGAAGATTTTGCATCCTTATTCTTTTCCTTATCTTTTTCAGCAGATTCTTCTTCATTAGCCTCTGCTTCACCATTTTCTTTAGCCCCAGATTTCTGATGTTTTCGTTCTCCATCTTCACCGGATGACTTGAAGTATTCAAACATATCACAATCTATATCAGAAATGTTGTCTGTAGGTTCGTCAAGATTGTATGTTTCGTCATCATAATCATCTTCACTACGTTCATGATGTCCTTTAGAACCTTCTCTCAAATCATGTCGTCATCTTGGCTAGGCAACACGTCTATTGCTTTCAACATTAGGATGTTTAACGATGGGACCGCTTGCCGGAGTTCTCTGGGGTAAAAGGTTTCGTGGCAACTGACCACGTGGCAATGACCTTTGGATTGTCTTTTGGATTGTGTTTGGATATAATGTTTTCTTTTGTTTTGAATTTTGGGTTTTATTTTGTTATCCATGGTTTCTGTATTTTTTGTTTTGTTTTCCTTGGGGAGAGAATGAAGGTGTATTAAGTTAGTCTAGACAGGTTAATCCTTAGCTTTGCTTAAAAATATTTTTTGAAAGTGAATTGTTGCTTTTTTGTGAGTCCTACTGTCTTATTCTGATTTTCAGCAGGTTAACTTACTGCGTTCTAACTTCAGTTTAATTGGTAAAGTTTAATTTTCATCACTTTTGGTCAGTTTAAGAGCTGGCTACTTCCATTCAATTCTTAACGTTATTGTCACTGTCACCACTACTTAGCGTATAACTTGCCAATGAGTTTTGTAATTGGTTATTGATTCTCTTCCGATTTTTTTTTCTTTTCAGAACGGGGGAGGATAGTTATGTAATATGGTTTTTCAGTTTTGTTTTTCAGTAATTCATTTTTAAATATTTGATTTTATTTTTTCAGATTAAAGTAATTGCTGTAAGTTAATTTCATTTTAAGCTGTAATTATTAATTTTAAATTTAAGTTTTTTTTTTTCCTTTAAAGGTAAAGTTTGGTTTTTAATTTTTGCTTAAGAACTTGGATTAAGTTATCTGATTTTATTTTACTCTTTTGTTTGGGGTTGTTTTGGTTTGACCCTTAAGTTCATTTAACTTTTATATTTAAAAGTTTTCTGTTTGTTACACTAGTTTGGTGTGCAAATTTAATTAGTTTTTTTGTTTGTTTAATGTTTACCCATTTTTCTGGTAAAGTTTATGAATCCATGTTTTCTGACTCAGGTGGTAATTTCGACTGATGTAATAAAAATATATGTATTGATCGAATTGAAATCTCGATTTCTAGAATGAAAATTCAGTGCATATAATTTGATTAATTGTAATGAGAGAGTTATTAATAGAATTAAATTTCGGTACTAATTGTTAACGCTACGTTTTCGACTAGTTGTTGGAATGGAAAACATTCCTATTTCCCAGAATTTCTTAAAAACTTTTAAAAGACACTTTCTTATGTCACTTATTATTGACACTTATTTTTGACACTTATTTATTACTTATTGACACTTATTTATTACTTATTGACACTTATTTATTACTTATTTTTGACACTTTCTTATGTCTCTTTCTTTTAAAGGTGACTTTTTGGCCAAACAGTTTACCGCATAGAAGGATTCACATATTCTGCATCTTCACTCACAGGGTTCTTCTATTTGTAATTGTATTACGGGCTGCGCTTGCGAGGTGTGAAAATTTTGGCAGTTCAACATATTCATGTATTAATTTTGCACCCTTGACGAGGCTAGCTCGAAATATTTTGTTTACGTCGCTATTCGGCAGAGGAGTCTCTCGAAATAATCTTGAGAGGTTGCATTGAAAATTGGGAGATGTTAGCCAGCTTCTGGAAGCTGGAAAATCCCTTCAGGTTCGCACTGAGAGGGTTGCTGGAACTGGACGACTTTTTCTTTCTCGTTCTTTATCAAGGTTCCCGCCAACTGAGGGCTTTCGCCAACTAGAAGTTTTCCTTGAAGCGGCAGATGGTGGAATCGAAGAAGTGTCTTACTTTCCTGCACTGAACGAGCGACATGGGTCACCTTTTAACCTTAGACCATGGCTTATTTTCTCTTGACACCAATGGACCCTCCCGACAAACCCAGGAGAATGAGTGGACCAGTGCGACTGTCGTGCTTTCAGAAATTTGACAAATATAATCTTCTTATTTTTGTTCTCCGTTCTTCTAGTTCGAGGTTCTGTATGAAATGGCTTCCTTTCGTCTATGCGTGAACTTCAAACCTTTGCACCCCTCCGAGTTGTAACAGTGTACTACAGGATGTTTTTATAGTTTGAAGTGCTTAGTTTCTAATTTGTTGTGTCGAAAAATATGAAAGATAAAAATTTTACTCCCGGTGTAAACCAGTTCCTTGCTAAAATATGCTGTGTTCTATTTAGTACTTAAGAAGCTAACCCCTACTAAATTGCTATTTAGTGTGTCTTGGTGTCCACTGGCCTGTAATGTGTTATTCCAAAATTTGATTTTCTTATTTAATTTTACAGTTCTTTAAGAGTTTAAATGTATTTGTTAAAGCAAATAGTTGTGTGGGCTCACTGGTAGTAATCATAATAGAATGGAAGGTATTCTTTATATTTTGTTATAGTTAACGTTATTACCTACCTTACCAACTTAGAAGATAATCTCTACTATGTAACGTTAAGCAACAACTCTAATGTTGTCCTCGAAATAAATTATTGAGATTTAACTTTATTTTTTTATTTTATTTAATAATACACTGGACTAAATTAGCTTAAACTGGTTTTCATTATAATTTTCACAACGCTATTGTTTTCTCTTTTATGTTTTAGACTGTTACATCAATATTGGCAATAATATATGTGTAGACACATTACACTTTGTTCAATATATATTGTATATGACCTAATATGCCCAAGTTTTGTTCAATGAGTTAATTTTCTCATTTAATTATGGCATCAGCAATATTCATAAGTAGCATTGTCTTTAACAATATGCTATTTCATATGACGAAAATACCGCGATGACCACGCACCTAAGCAAACCAAATAGCAGGTCCCTTTGTCTCTAAGTTAACTAACAGCTAAGAGGGTTTAATTACAATGTCATATTTAATGAATATGAGCTAAGAGTGTTTGATTACCGTGACATATTTAACAGTCATATTTGTCATAAGTAATGACTATAGTTTCCCTCTGCTTTTAATACTAATTATAAATTAAAAGGAAGAATAAGTTAGCTTGTGGATGAAATCTTTTCCCTTTAATCCACTTCACCTTAAGATAAAAACAGCTCTGCTTCATTAAGTCTGCATTCATTTCGGAAACGATGCTTAAATCAGTAAATCTTAGATTGGCCTTTAGAAAGAACAAATGCCGGACTAAATTTATTATTCGGTTTACAGCCATTTTAAAACAAATTATATGAATACAGTTTACAGCATTCTCTTCATAATCACAGAAATTTATGGGTCCTAAAGCAACACATTGAGTGAAATCACAAAACGGTAAATTTATATTTATGTGACCTTTCAAAGTGTCATTTGATACTACATCAAAAACATTACTTCTGTATTCAGTTTCCATATCAACAGGAGGAACTCCTGCAAGAACAAAAGCACGCTCGCAACTTAGTGCTTTATAACCACTGATGTTACGAAGAAGAACTCTGTTGAAGTCTTTCACATATTCTCTTTGTTAAAATTCTTACGAACATGCCTAAAACATGAGATCTATAAGGAGTGAAAGGCAAAGTGCTTATACATTAACGTTTCGACTTAATAGCTTACTCCGAAATTATATTTAGCTATCTGATGATGACTATAAACATGTTTGTTCATATTTAATGAAGAGGAAATCAACAAAGTTTTCTTGTTAATTTCCTTCGAGTATGTCAGCAAGATAGTTAAAAATCTACAAACTCGAAGATTTAGTTGTCAAGGAATATTATTCTTGTAATCAGAGCTAAAAAAAGATAACTTTACTTTTAAAGGATTGAAGCTTGAGAGAGACCACTTTCTCCCATGCAAGATAAAATCTAGCACTGACAGCACCACAAGATGAAGTGACTGAGTGGGGCGGTATCACAAGCAAATTCGTTCTCAGTATGTACTTCTTCGAAGAGTTCAATTCGATAGGTATGAAATATGCTGTATACAGGTACTTGGTATATAACAATGTTGCAGAATATCGTAATTCTAGAACTTCAGCAAGGAAATGTCGTGAATGATGTTATATGAATGCAAGTTGGTGCTTCTCTACACACGTCGCCTCACGTGTTCGCAAGCGCTGCAACATCACTTTGGAGATAAAGTTATCTCCCGTAACTTTGCAGTTTCGTTTCCACTGTGATCTCTCAATCTCACTTCACTGATTTCTTTCTCTTGGTTTATCTGAAATCTAAAGTGTACAGATCAAATTCACGAGGTTTATCAGAACAGAAAGATGCCATAAAACGTTCTGATAACGTTATACTGATTCCTTCTAGGCTGTTATGTTCGTCATTGCTATCAACAATCTCCCGCCTGCAATGAGTTATCGTCTGCGAAGGTGGGCCTCTTGAAAATTTGTAATTCCATGAAAGTTTTTTTCCCCATTCTTCCCTATTGTGTTTCACTTGTCCTTTACAATTTTCTTCTTTGCAAATGTTTTACCCCGAGAGTTCGTTTATCGTTCCAATGCCATTTATGGTTTTTCAGTGCGCTGATCATTTTGTGCAGAGAAAGCGGGAGTGTTGTCGCTTAAAAATTCCAAATGTTTTTACTGTCGCCCCAATCGCGAAAGATTTATTTTTTTATTTCATCACATTCGCGAGCGTATACCTTCAAATAACAATATCTGAGCTTATGTTTCAATTGGTTGAGCGGATAGGCCACTGCGGAATCATATATTGGAGAAAAGTTTTTATATTTTCCCTTTTGAGATGATGTACAATGAACGATAGCTTTGAATGATTTATTTTAATAAATACGCTGTTTTTCTCCTCGTACTTCTTACTATTTTGTCTACTCTGCCATAAAATGTAAATAACGTGAGTTTAAATAATTAGAAAAAATTCAAGTTTAGGAGAAAGAATTAGCATTTTTAACCTGCCGTACTGCCGTATTCCTCAGTTATGGCATGTTTTAAACGACACGCTACCAGTTGGTGAGATCGCCTTTCGTTTAAGTTATGCTTATAGTCGCTCGATAGTAGAGCTGGGTTGTAGGCTCTAAATTTAAACTTGTATGTAAATGAGAATCACTACTTCCTTTTCAACGTGCAAGAAGCAAAAGTTAATTTTATTGGTCTTCAATTTAATTTATATATTCGAGCTGATTGTGAAAGCAAATGTTTTTGTTTGATTTTTACTCTGATGTTGTGGATGTAGGAAAATGCCCATGCAGCGAGCTCGTTTTTCGGGTTCGTGCCCCGGATCGAACTACCAGTGTTCAGCGACTTTATCACTGGACCTTTGGCGGGCCCGGTTTTAAGAAGAAATATAATATTTTAGCTTTACAGATTTGGAAGTAAAGATAAAATATTAGTTTTTTCTGCAGTCTGAAAAATGTTAGACTAGTGCTAGACGACGCCAAAGGGAGTTTAAAATCACGGCCTTTTATGGAGCAGTCTTAGCTTTTCTTGTAATGCGTTAGATTTCAAATACCCTTCTTGCGTATTTAAAGTTATGTATCCATATTTTAATATCCAATTTTTTATGTGTCCTTTATGCTTGAATGTAGTAAAAGAAACACATGAAGTAAAAAACACTTACAACACATGATATATGAGTTCATGAATACGCTGTAATATTTAAAAAAATCTTTGTGACTTCAGATACAAAAAAATTATTTAAATCATCCTGTCATATTATTTTTAACATAGTGCGTAGGCCTTTATATAAAGAGACATTACTTACTTGTTCTGTCAATTGGCCGTTTGGACAGTCCTTTAGAAAACCTTTGTACCTGAAATAGTAAAAGTATTTACTTAACTTTTATTATATTTTTGTGTAATTAATACAAGATGTTTCAATTATGAATAAAATATTTTAATTTTTTATAGAAATTAATTGCCAACTTGATATGCATTGAACAAGTGCAATACTTTTATTTTTATAACAAATCAATGCGAAAATAATTTGCATAATTTCTCTTTAATTATTTTTAATTATTTCTATAACATGATTCTGAGATAAACTCTTAACTGGAACGCTGAATTCATGCTAGATTACCAGTTTTCTTCTGTAAATCATTATAAATTAGAAATTTATGCACAGATTAATTAATTCGCTGTGATATAAAATGACGATAAAATCTTAAATTTGCAAATCCAAATAAAGCTGTTTTAAAACAATTCGCATATTAAATAGAAACAAAATATGTAACAAATATTTTAAGTAACTAATAGCTAGTTTGATGATTACACTAGCTCAAAAATATAAACTGTAAACTCTATTATTTGCAGAGTGTTATATTTAATAATTTTATAAGATAAATACTTTGCGATTTTGTGATCTAACAGTGCAATCAGAGATGGGTGCTTTTAAAAATTTAGTAAAATATTTTACGTGAATAATTAAAGTAATAAAATACCTGTCTTATAGAAATTCGTTTAATCAGGCTCCAGTTACATTTGCGAAGCATTTTTGACAACGAATTTTAAAACATTACTCGCAGTATTTACAAAAGCATAACTTATGGAATATGTTCGTGAAAAAATTCCTCAGAAGTACCCAAGTTTAATCCAGCCTCGTATGACGTTATATAAAACTAGATGCAATATATTTTATAAAATTTCTAACGCAATATTTAAAAGCTAACTAAAGACACCTGCAGTGTTCGCCACAGATTTTATGAAAAAGTACTGTTGTGAATTTCGGAATGGTATTACACGTATATCACGCAAATACCCTCACAAAGAGAAAAGATTCACCGCTTTAATTCACGCGATCGCATATATGGCAAGCATTTCCTTAAAATGCCACGTTGTCAAAAAGGAGTTTTGCTTAACGTTGATTTTTCCTGCTACGTTCTTTAAAGGTATTAAAAACAAATAAATAAATAAATAAAATAAAATAAACAGATAGTTGTATATCGTGAAAGTTACGATACAGCAATACATTGAATCATTCGATATAAAATGTTTCTCTCTATTTTTAATCCCTATAAATTTCCAAAACATTTTCGGAAATTGAGGAATTTTCAAGACGTTTCATTTTATTGAAGTGTATTTTTTTTTCAATAAAAAATGCATTCTTCGTAAATTTTTTTGGAGAGTCAGTATTTCCATCTTTTCTCATTTAATTCTAGGATGGTTTTGCTTCTTTTTATAATGTTCGAACAATGAGAAGTGCAACAATAAAGCACTAAAATAAAATTTATGCAATATTGTCAGGACTTGTGTTTCTCTTTATTTGCTTTGGAAACATGAATGGTCCTGAATAGAAAAGAGAGCTTACTCAAGCTATGTTCAGGAAAGTGTGAAGTAGACAACACAAGCAGGAATGGTATACGAAACCCTTTATTTTCAATACTTTATAGGTATTTCCGAAACTTCGGAATACAGAGACCAACCACTTGTGGTCTGAACGTAAGAATATAAAAACTACTAACTAAAACTCTAACTAAAAGCTAACTTTGAATTAGTATACAAATGTCTAGCATTAAGACTGGCCTTTATTTAAAAAAGGTACGTATGTAGTACGCCGAGCTGCTAAAACTACGATACGTCTACCAATATCAAGAGGGCTAAGCCTCTGGCCTTAAAGGCAACCAACAACAGACTAAAAACTCGTAAAACTACAGTGGCAAGCGGCTTGCTTCCTAAAAACTCCTTCTCTCTCTCTCTTGGCAAAAGGCCACAACTTAAGTACTTGGCGTTAGCAAGACAATTTGCATAAATAATTTAAAGCATTTAATTCTGGCCGGAAGTAGAAAATAAGAAGTAATAGTACTGTTTTAAAATAAAATAAACGTTAGTAAAACTTAGGATCCTTACAATATTTTTATTTAACTATACGAAATAGAATTATTTAGCAGAATATAAAAATGTGCAGCCTGTTTTTGAAAACAGTTTCTTAATGAAGATCATGTTTTACTAAATTTCAAATTCTACAACTTTCTATTTGCACTCTAGGAAGAATGTGAACAATTCTCCTTTCTAGTCCTTGTTGAGTATACAGATATTTTTAACTATTTGCTTAATTAATGAAAACACGCTCATTTTATTTTTAGGGGAAATAATGCTTTTATTACTTATGCATTTAACTTTTCCTCTTTTGATAATAGATTAATAACTTGATTATGGAGAGTGCCATTGCTTTTTAATAAAGAAACATCGCTTCAAATATGCTCATAATGAACGCTTTGCACTCAACGTTAATTATATAACAATACTGTTTCGGCAACTGCTAAACAACAGAGACGTTTTATTAATGATATAAATGAATTAATTTTGAATGAAGGAATTAATTTAACCTGTATTTAGTAGAAGTATTGTGCTCAGGTTTGAGTAACATGATATAACTTTTACCACATGAAAAAAACGAGATAAGTAGAAAAATTACCCGTTGGAATAATTTCAAGCTGTCACAGAAAGAACTTTTTCTCACCGATGTGATGAATGATGAGAATCTCTCAGTAGAATGTATTCGATAGGTCGGAATCGAACGTACATTTGGCATCTATCACGCATGCTCTCCATTAAACTCTCCGTTAAACATAAGAATAATTAAGAGATATGATTTCATTTGACTTCAATGGACAAAGTAATTTTTTTTGCACCATTTGGGTAGAGTTAATTTTTTATGCATCAAATCTAACGAGAGCAACCCAGATATGCTCTATGAGATTTGTATCCAGAGATAAAGCAAACAAGCCCATACCCTCTGTATCTTCTTTTTACAGCGTCTCGGGCACTTCCGCTTTCCTATAGGAGCATGCATTGTCGCCCATGAAGAGCAAATGTAGACTGAGTCCACCATAATAAAGTTGAATGTATCAGAAGTATAATTTATACAATTTATGCCATTTTTACTTCCTTGTACGAAGTAAAAAGGAAGTATTGTAATCACGAAAAGTTTCAGGCAGCATATTTCAACGAAAATATCCATTTTGACCGCTATCGAATGCAATTTAAAGATGTTTTTGCGTCATATCTGTACGTAAGGACAGAATAAAATACACGATAATTATCTTTTAATTATCGTGGTGTCTGTACGAGCGTATGTACGTACGTTCATACGTATCTCACATAACTCAAAAACGAGTAGCCTCAGAACGCTGAAATTTTGTATATAGGACTGCTATAACATATAGATTGTGCGCCTCCCTATTTCTGGTTGCAATCGGCCGCGAACCGAAAGTGTATAAATAATACATATATATATATATCCACTCTATTACCCGGCTCAGTGATCTCAGTTTCTTTTACTCTTATATGTTTGTAAATTGTACATTTTTTGCTTTAAAAATAGTTGAATTATGTTGTTTTATCTTCCGGTTAAGGATTTTATGCCTTTAGTAAATCTGTGTGCAATATTTTTAGAATTATCAGCAATTTTAAAAATTGTTTAATTGCCCGCTAAGCCTGTTTTTAATGGCGGCCATTGATGTTTACATTTGAAACAGGAGACTAGTGGATTTGTTGCCAATCTAGAGAAACTTAGCTTCGCAACAACAAAGATAACGCATTCATTTATTATTGCCAATTAAATCATGCTTAATTCTTTCTGGAATTTTTTCGAGGAAATAAGTGTTTGAGATTTACTTCGTAATTTTTAATGCAGATATTTTGAGCTTTTATGTATTTTTGCCTTCTCGCGAAGTGAGAACTGAATTAATTAAATGAGAAATACTCAATCGTCTGTGAAAAACTTTTTTTTTTTTTGCTTAATTTCTTTTATACATAGTTCTAGCTTTATTATAGTATTTGAATAGAACATGTGGCAACGATTAGATAATTCTTTAAATGATATACATTTTGTGCATTCTGATTTATAATATGAATGAAATATAATACTGTTAACTAAACCTAGCGCCAGAGTGTCGCTATGGTAAACAAAGTGAATTTTAAAGAATGCATTTATTCCATTGTGGTTTATGCGCTGTCGGCGAAGTAGGTTGAATTCAGTCTAATAAGTTTAAATAAAATCCAAAAAAAAATGAGTATAATTTAATATTCCGTACAAGGAAGTCATGTGGTGTACACATCAGATTTTTTTATTACGAGACAGTATATGACATAGATTCATATCTACATCAAAGATGTTGTTATGAATACATGTTGTTATGAATAATGAAAATCTCATTCAGTGACTTGTTACAAGAACAAGTTTAAAGGACATTCTGATGTTAATAAGTTACTTTCTCTTTTTAGGCTAGATAATGTCTGGAAAGATTCTTGATTGATGAATGGGTATTCAGCAAAGGTCATATGGATATCTGATTGCAATGAGTTTATTTAATACACAAAGGTGACTGTGACGGGACCTTTTATGAAAAGAATGAACATAAAAGGCTTCCGTGTATACAGGTTAACATGATTTATTCTCCGCGAGTCTGTTATAGTAGATAAAGAAAGGCTGGTAGATTTGAAAGATCAGTTGTTATTTCGCCAAGAGTAAGATTTCTATAACTTTTCACTACTAGATACACATATCCGTCATCTTGAGAGCAGATATTTCTTCCACGACCACCACATACTTTTACAGGACATTTTTTTTCTATGATCTCTTTAACAACAAGATAACACTTTCTGCTCCATGTCTGTTGCGTGATAACTTTTAAAGGCATTTTCTCCTTCATTTGTTGATGACATCGTGGTGTAAGTGGAAAATACGTTCAGCTAAGAAAGCAGAAGGTCTGGATTCGAGTCCCGGAGATGGACACTTCGTATTTTTCTCATCTCCTACTCTAAAATGCTTAATTGTCTATAAAGTAGCAACCGAATTGAAATGAAGGTGGAC